CCCCTGCTGCTGCCCCCGGCCCCTGCTTGTGCCCCCTGCTGCTGCCTCTTCCAAAGGGCCGATGGGTGTGCAGCCACATCTCGTGGCTGCCTGCTGACCACTGAGCCTCAGCAGATGACCTGCTGCCTTCTCACTCCTGACTCTTCCCCAGGCTGGATCTGCCTGAAACTAACTGGGAAGCATGTCTGGGCTAGAGCTGATCCTGACAACAACAACAACATAGTTTGCTTTTTTTTAATCTGGACCATCATTGGTTCATCAAGCAGCCTCGGGTCTGTTCTTCTTCACACAGTTCAGAGGTGGGGGGCAGGAGGAGTGCAAGAAATTTCCTTCTTCATGGTACCCTCTTGTGCTGGGTTAAATGTGTTGTGAAATTACTGGTTTAGTACTCTAGGCCTCCTCCACTTTTTATTTGGTTTAAATTAGAAAATAGTTTCAGTCCATTTCCATCCCCCTAAACGTGATCTTAGGTGAAATGGCATTTCTGCTCTAGTACCAGGAAGAATGCTGGTGGGAATGTGCCACAGAGGAGGAAAAGACCACTTGTAAAACTTTAGATTACAGCTCCCCCTGTTGGGTTTTTACCACAGTTGTCACCTCAAAATAGTGTTTAGGTCAGTCAGTCTTGCAGAATTTAATTCAGCCAAGCCCCCCTCTCTCTACAAACCTGACATAAATGTGCAGTATTTTATGATATTGCTTCATATTAAATACTGAGATCTTATAATCAGCAGGCTGGGAAGGCAAGTATGGGAATTGTATACTAGATTTCCTCTGAAAGAATGGTTACAACTAATGATCCTGTTCTGCTGAGTCTTTCAGTGTTAGTATTCCTAGAAACACTGTTAGGAAGGGTGAGATTGCCTCTGAAGGTGATCCCTTGGTGGCAGGCAGTGCTTTCAGATATGTTCAGCATAAGGTACACACCTTATGTGTGTGTACAGCAGAGTCCATCTCGGCAGATCAGAGACTCACAGGGTTGGAGGAGACCTCTAAGATCATCAAGTCCAACCATTAACCTGTCATTCTACTGTAACCCCTAAACCATAATCTCCAGCACCAGATCCAGACACCTCTTAAACACCTCCAGGGATGGTGACTCCACCACCTCCCTGGGCAACCTATTCTGTGCCTGATCCACCCTAACAGGGAAAACATTTTTCCTAACAGTTGTAGAGTTATCTGTTAAGAATCATGAGGAATTTGCATTGGAAGGCAGACTTACGGGTTTTTTCTTTTCTTTTTTTTTTTTTTTAAATTCTCAAAGCTAGCAAAACTTTCTCATTTTCCACGTGGTTAAGTGCAATACTTGGGAAATAGACATAAAACCAAGCACTTCACAATTTCAGTATATGCTGTAATTTTTGTTGCAATATTATGTAAATATTTAAAGGAACAAACAACACACAGAGCTGTAACCACAAAACTAATTTAATGTTGCGGGAAATGTTTCAGTCACACAGCTCATAACCCTTCACATCTATGTGGACTTATGTTAGTGTAAAGTTTCTAGTGGTAGGAAATCATGATTTTAAAAAGCTTTAGATGCAGAAGCTAATTTAAAGAAACGTCTATGTTGTTTGCTTCAGAAATTTAAAAGTCACTAAAGGCGAAGGTGAAGGTTCTTCACGCCAGTGCTGCTGAGCAGTTGCAGTGGATTTGTTTTATGCCGTGAGCAAGTAATACCAGCACTCATTGTGAAAAGAAAACAGTGTAAAAAGATTGCTTTAGAGGCTGTTTATCTCTTTGATCACTCATTTTAAGGTAAAGAAATCACAGAGGGATGAAGTGAAGGCCAAATTGTGCCTTTATTATTTGAAAGCTTTGCTCTGTATGAATGTTAATGCTTGTGTGTGAAATGTTTTCAGCACAATGATTTCACTATCTGTTCCCTCCAAGGCATGCTATGGAATCTTAAAAGTACCTGAAGGGAGCTGGCTGTGTCGCACCTGTGTCCTGGGAATACATCCTCAGTGCCTCCTGTGTCCCAAAAGAGGAGGTGCCATGAAAGCCACCAGGACAGGGACCAAGTGGGCACATGTGAGCTGTGCTCTCTGGATTCCAGAGGTAAAAACCTGCTTGCTGTCTCTGTCTGGCATTGGACTGGGCTGTACTCTGACGAGTCTGCACAGTCTGTGAACACTGGCAGAAAGTCCAGCGTGTGCTCCATGAATGAGTCACTTTGTCACCTGCATTTACTCAACAGTCACTTCTCGGTGTCACCGTGTCTGAGTGACCTGCTAGAAAGGGTTACTGATGTAAGCTGCGTCTTACAGCTCTTCCATTCTTTCTTTTGTGTTTTGTTGAACTTGTGTGCTCAGATACGTGTATCATTTGCATGAACACTTCTGCTTTTTTATTTGGTTTTGCATTCTTACTACAGGATGTGTGCTAAGATTTGTAGTTAAGGTTTCTTTGAACTGAATTTTTTCTCTATTGCTGGTGAGACGAGACTTTTTATCTCTGCTATATTTCTTAAGTAAAGGCTTTATGATACATCTGTGCATACCTATATGGAGAGTTTCGTAATGAAGTTTTACGCGTCTTCCTCCGTTTTGAATCGAGTTTAGCATTGCAGTATAATTCTGTAAAAGGGAATGTTGACTTGGGTGTAGATGGAGTTTGTGTTTAATTTTGTACTTGGAATGTTTGTATTCTTCCTGGTAAGATTCACAAATCCATTGTGATGGGCAGTTTAATGTGCAGCAGGAGCCAGATATGTCAGCAGTGTGACATCAAGGACACTATTTTCTGAACCTTCTGCTCCCAAGTGCAGCCAGACCTCACAAGTGCAACACTTGGGGGAAGATGTTAAGATTCTGGGTATTTTTTAAGTTGGAAACCAGATGTCATGTGTAATTTGTAGCTGTCTCAGGCATGTGTCTGCTTTTTAAGGAGGTGATCTTTGCAGTTGCACTTTTCCTTTCAGGCCCACTTGTAGTTCCTGGTGTCTCTTCCACTTTCAAGGAGTGAGGATTTGAGGAAAAACTCCAAAGAATTATTTAAAAATAAAAAAAAAATATATCACTTCTCCTCCTGTACTTCCGAAGTGTCTTGGCTGGAAGCTCTCCTGGCTCTGAGCAGACTGGTTTTCCTAAAAGGTCCTTTCTGCATGTGGTTGCCTTGCTGTTCTTGCCAGCAGAAGGGGAGCAGTGAGGTTTGGGAAGCCCATGATGGCAGGGCAGGGAGCACACACTGCCTGCCTGCCTACCCACCTCCCTGGGGCTGAGGGAAAGAAGCTGCTTGGGGAGCACCTAGGTGGGAGAGCTTGAATCCAGCTGCTTCCACAGCCCATTCAGTGATTCCAGGCCTTGGGCATCTCCTCCCCTCCACACCAATACCAAGTGTGTCAGGCATAGTGAGTAGGTGGCACCTGCCAGTAGGGATGGAAAATGCCTCTTGGATCCATTCTCTCTCTCAGGCTCATGTGTTGTCACTTGTAAAACAATTCAGTCAGCAGAGGAAACAGAGAAACCTTCATGTATCTGCGAAAATGGCAGGTCAGTGCCTGTCTGGAGAGTCCATGTGGCATTATATGCTGCAGGGGACAAGAAAGACCTGGAGTTTGAAGACCTAGGGATGGATGCTTTCTGGGAGACAGTGTACTCTCATCTATTTTTCCTCTCCCCGAGACAGTAGCACACTGGAACTCCCCCAAAAGAAACAGAAGTCACTGCCATTTCCTCTTGTGGCCCTAACAAAGTGAAACAAGGCAGAACACAGAGAGGAAGGGGCTATGAACATGTCTGTGTCTTGTAGCAAAAGGTTCAGAGTGGCTTCCTGAGCCACCAAGTGTAGTCCAGCATTGTTGCAGTCAATTGCATCAGGTATTTTCCTGCATTAACTCATTCTGCATTGTCTTAGTGTTTTTAATTCCCTGACTTCCTTATGAGTTAATGCTGTTGAAAGGCTTTCTTCACCCTCCCTTGACTGATTGGGATGTTTGAAGGTTTTTACTTTTGAAATTGTAGTCACTGTTGGTTTATATACTTTTATTCTTCTGTCTTTGCTGTCTTTCAGTGTAAATTGGTGGTCCATTTTGTGTTTTTTTTAAAAGGCATTCTTCTAAAAAATAAATCAGAAAAGGAAACTGATACCAGAAAGCCTGTACAGAGTGTTTTGAACATCAGGACCCTTCTCTGCCTTAGATATAGCCCATTACAGTTACGTCCTCTGTCAGTGTGCTGTTAGCTGAAGCAGAAGGTGATAACCCAGTTGTAGAGGAAAGGTAAAATTGACTGTCCTTAGCAGCTGTTGTGAGTGGCTGTGCTCAAGACCCTGGTCTGCCCTTCCCAGCCCCTGGTGCAGATCCTTGTGCACTGGTGCAGCATGTGGTGGCAAGGTGAGCAGGGGAGCAGAGGACAGCAGGGTGATGATCATGGGCATTGCAGCTGCAGATAATAGCCTTCAACAACCCATTGTCTTTGCTTTCTCTCACTCTTAAAACTTCTTCAAAGTATAGCAGTCTGCATGTAATCTCATGCAAGGTGAAAATGGCTGGATGTTATGGCAGATGGATCATTTCTGCCTTGGGAGGAGAGTTTTGGGGTGATGAAGTTTGGCCTCTCTGCTCTCTGGATCCCTCATGAGCAGCAAGTTCAAACAGATTGTGCTTTGACTCCTCCTTTGGAATATCAGAAACATGTAGGTGGCAGGAGGCTAGTATAAATAAATTGCACCTGACTCTGTGTCTCTTTGTGCTTTACAAAGTGGAGTAATATAAACAGGCAGCATTACAGGCTGAATGGACAATATTTCCAATATAAAAGTTTCCTGACCTTATGAGCCCTCCCTGTGGAAGGAGCAGGGAGAGTATTAAAAGGGGCAGAGGGAGGAAGGTCTGTGTCAATGTCCAGCTCCTGCTGGGAAGCACAGTGGAAAGCTGGTATTACTCAATCTCCAGAAAATTTCACTGAAGATTCTGGTTTCTTTTTGAAAAGAATCTAGATGGGTTTGCAAATTGATACAATGCCTTAATTCCCAATGGAGTCTTGTCAGTTAGTGTAGTGGTGAGAGTCAATCTTTGTACAGTATTGTTTCAGAAATACCTGAGTGACTTGTAACCAGCTGTTTTGAGCAAGATCATGTTAGGTTCATTGAAGGCTCTTTCCTTTGGGAAGCAAAAGAGCTGCATTTGATGATGTTTACGAGTGCTGGACGTGATTTTGTGGAACCATTCAAGCATTTCAGGAACAGCTTTGTCACTTTTCCACTGATTTACAGGAAGGCCACAACAGATTAAATTTACTTGTCCTCTCTTCCTGATGAGGGCATCACATATTGCTTTCCTGTTCTCACCCTTGTCTGGTAAAACCTGAACCTCTTCTGGAGCATCTCACTAATTGTCTTCCTAGTGAAGACTTCTGGAAATGCCATGCAGCAGGTTGACCTCCATATATTCCAGAAGAGATGGGCTTGCTGTTGGGAGATCAGAGAGTAAAGTACTATAACAAATCTTTTTTGAGTCAGTTTGTCATTAATTCATGAACTGCCAATCAGCTTTTTTAAATGTGGAAATGATGAACCAAGTAATCTCTTGCAAAGCTGTTTTTTCCACCTACTTAAATGATCCTCAGAGCAATGCATGATAAGTGGCAAAAATACTGTTTGAGCATAGCAACTGTGACTTAGCACTGCTATCTTTGGGTAGGTCTACCTCACTGATGAGGTCTGCTGAAGCAAAGCCTTTGCTCCTCAGGGGCTAAGCAGGTATTAAAATGAACACGTGCATCAAGTGATTGATTGATAATGTACCCCCAAAGAGAAGCTAGGAAATTCAGCTTAGTCTGCTGGTTCTTGTAAAGTCACTGGTTTAATTATCACATGCTGAACTAATTTATATAACCTGAATTTCCCTCCAAACTCTTATTTTGGAGTTAATCTGTTAAAATTACTGTAGCATAATGCTCTTAAAGTTTTCTAGAAAAACAAAATAATTGCTGTTCAAATCTCAACCTTGATTGCTTTTTTAACCAGTCAGCTTCATTCTGGCCTCACTGTGCCACAGAGCATGACCTAGGAACCTCCTTTCTTTGCATTCTTAGGTCTGATCCCTTGGAGAAGAGGCCCCTATCCCACCACAGGAAATACTGGTCTGCTCTGCTTGGATCAATTGTTTCTAGAAAGTGTGGAGAGCTCTCTAGTTACAGTCAACATTGTGTTTCTGCCTCAGGCAGGTAGCCCTACAAAGCACCCAGCTGCTAAATTCAAAAAGTGTTCCAAGCTTTTGGAGACTGGTGTTCTTGGGGCATAACTGTTACCCCACTGAAATCTTCTGCCATGTGCCATTCTCATACTGGCCTAGTTCTGCATGTTGGTCATTCAGAGCTGGCCACGTTTTTGTTTCTGCCCTTGGATCAATCCTGTCTGTCAGGAGTGGCTCAGGGATGCCTACAGATATAATTTGTCTGTTTTGATGTCCAAATAATGGAAGACAGTCCTTGTTTCCCTGTATAGACAACAGGCAGCTGAGAAATTTCTATCACAATGGGTATGCAGAAGTTAGTATAACCAAGAATAGGGAAAAGGTGTTATGTGCATATCTGAATGTTTCTTTCTGTTAGTGTTAATATCCGTAATCTGGTCTACCAGGCACAAATGGATCATTCAGATTAAGTTAAGACTAGCACAAGAGAATATATCGTGGTTTGCAGTAAGAGAAGTTTGTCGCATTCTTTCTCAAATCAAATACTTGATGCAGTCTGTAGTTTGGAAAGTGTATTAGAGTCACCTCTTGCATTGGGAGTGCTCAGTGGAGAGGCACAGCTGGGAAGCAAGGCCTGGCTGATAGATCTGCTTCTGCCCCAAATCATGAGCTGGCAGAAGTGTAGATACTGTACCAGACTGGAGATCTTATGGAAGGCACTTTTCAGGTAAGTATGAGTAAGTGTTCCTATTTTATTCTGAGTAGCTTGTATTTTGGTACTTTTAAAGTTAGACATGTGAAAGCAGCACAGGAAAAACAAACAAACCACACGAGAATGGAAATAGACTTAAGCATCACTTCCTGCAGCTTCTGAGCTGGTTCGTAGCAAGGAATGCTGTAGGTGCTTCCAGTGTTTTGAAGAATTGCAACTTTGAGCCACCAGGTTAAGCTAGTAGTAGTATTCCACACTACTGTTTGCATGTGGTATCTTTTGAGCACATGGAGATCTTGCAGCAAGAGAAATGTAGATGTTTTTCTTCTTCTGGTATTAATGGAGAGCTTGTTTTTATTGTCGTGATAACTGCTTTCTGTGCTGTTTTTGTTTACAGGTTAGTATTGCTTGCCCAGAAAGGATGGAGCCAATCACAAAGGTGTCTCACATTCCACCAAGTCGATGGGCTCTAGTGTGTAGTTTATGCAAACTGAAAACTGGTGCTTGCATTCAGGTATGTCCTTGTCCTGCAGTGACTCTGCAGGATAAGTCTATGTCAGAAGGGCAGTTGGGGTTTTGCATTTTGTTCTCCCTGTGTTCAGAGACACTTTACAGTGCAGATGACCATTGGATAGATGTCTCCTGACTGATAGCAAATGAGTTCATTAGCACAGAGATTTAGGAATTAGTCTGGGCTGCATTCTTTTGAATAGGGCTGAAATGTCTAAGACACCACTGTGTGCATCAGAGATGGAAAGAAAGCTCCTTCTGTTGCATACTGTTCACAGACAAGAAAATACTACATTGGATAATACAACCTTCAGAGGGGTTCAATGGATTTTTTTTGAGTGTGTGGGAAATAGGTTTTTGTAGGGATGGACTTCCATGTAATTAAGATAATACTGTCTGTCCTTTTTTTTTGTTTTCTTGTTTGTTGCTACTGTTAGTAATCGAGGGGTTTTGCTTCATTGTGTCTGCAGTGCTCCGTGAAAAGCTGCATCACTGCCTTTCATGTCACCTGTGCCTTTGAGCATAGCTTGGAGATGAAGACTATCCTGGATGATGGAGATGAGGTCAAGTTCAAGTCGTATTGTCTAAAGCACAGCAAGAACAAACAGAACTCGCTGCCTGATGTGGAGGAGCACCCCAAGAGCGTGTCAGAGCAGAAGCAAACCGAGAGCGAGAAAACGAGTTTGCGAGCCCAAAAGCTCCGAGAGCTGGAAGAAGAGTTTTACTCACTAGTTAAAGTGGAGGATGTTGCAGCAGAGCTGGGCCTTCCTAAACTTGCTGTAGACTTCATCTACAATTACTGGAAATTAAAGCGAAAAAGTAACTTTAACAAACCATTGTTTCCTCCCAAGGAGGATGAAGAAAATGGCTTGGTGCAGCCAAAGGAAGATAGCATTCATACTCGCATGAGGATGTTCATGCATTTGAGGCAGGACCTAGAGAGGGTAAGAATTTAAGTGGTAAAGTTTTGAAAAATACTTGCAGGTGAGCAAGGTCTTTGTGGAGGAAAGTGACAGTTGGGAAAGCAAAGGGAGATTTAAAAAATAATCATTAAAAACAAATAAATTAAGGCCTTCAGCTCCAATCTTTTGATATGCTGCACTGCTTGCTGTAGAGACTTTCAGCAGCTGTCACCTCTCAGTCCAGTG